AACCTACGCTACGTATGTGTATTTAATACGGTACTTTCTATAAATAATAATGGCATATTTATAAGCATGACATTGCATATCCATGTAGCCTGCACCAAATTCCGATGATTCGTAACAACAAACTGAAAATATACTTTCTGATAACAACCACATAGTAATTAATAAAGGCTATAAACTAAGTTCACAGAGGATATGAAAATTACAAATTCCTCAGCGCTTCAAATAAACTTGACCCGATTTCCCCTGTAAGTTAACACCAGCTCCTTTTGAGGATATCCAAGCGACGATGGTTATAGGCCTATATTTGATTGTTGTTGGTTATTTTGTGCCTGCATAAGTCTTGAGTATTTGTCGGTAATAACAATTGAATGTCACTGATAAACACAAGTCTGTTTGTTACACAGGATTCGAATGCCATTTTAGATTCAAATGGAATTCATCATGCTAATTAATAAGCGTGGACTTACACTGACAGTATGCCATCATTCTTGATTTAAAACAGGACATTTCAATCCTAACAAAAATAAGTTATTAAGTAAAAAGAAAACAGAGAGAATCACATAATTAAACCATAATATAGGCCTATTATTGCAGTTTATTTCCTGTAGTTTCATTGGACCTACAAATAATAAGTTGGCCTAGGCCTATAGAAAGGAGAGATTTAATTAGGCCTATACTAAGTACCGTACTATTTGATATATAATAGTGAAAATGCATTGGGATGTATTCAATGCCGTAGCCAGCTATTGGGACAGTCCCACACAATTTTTCTATTGGGTCCACAAAGAATGGGTCCACATTTTAAAAATGGGCCCAGATTTCTCACATTTTGTGTAAAAGGGTCAATTTTTTAAAAATGGGTCCAGGACTCCAGATTATTCATGTTTTGCGTAAAATGGGACAACGTTTAAGAAAATGGGTCCACAATAATTGAATTTACGCGTTAAGTTGGTCCACATTATTTGAATTTACGCGTAAAGTGGGTCTACCCTGATATTTTCCCACACTGTTTGAAAATTCTGGCTACGGCATTAGATGTACGGTATTATCAACAAATCGTGTGCTCACTACATACAGAGCACGTGACTTCCATCTTTTCGACGTGACTTTATATTTACAACGGTAACTAAGTTTTGGGGTTTCCCCAACACGCAAATGCCGCTATAGGTCGAATGGACAAGATAAAATGTATGGGCCAATGTTCATTTGTACTTAATTTAGATTGTATTAAATATATATTCTTAATACATTTGAGAATAAAGAGCATCAAAATGTGTTATTTCCGATCTTAGTTTTTGGTGTTAGATCTACAGTATGTTTGGACCGGAACAGAATTAGACTTTATAGATTATTCACTACAGCATATTTATAAAGTAAAGTTAGGCAGGTCTAAGTAAACAAAATAGTATTATTAAATCCAAAACAAAGAGAGCAAGTTGATAATCAATTTCTATATGTTGTAGGCATAGGCCTGACAAAAAGTCCAGACAACGAACAATTATTGTACATATTACGGTAATTTAATAGTATAATTTCATTTTACTGGCTTTAATTACATTAATAGGCCTAATATACAGATAGCGCACATGCTTTTTCGGAATTGTTTTTAGTTTAAGTACCGTAGTTTAAGTCAAAATTACTTAATGCTTGTTCTCTTTTTGTAAAGCGCACTGAGGCGGAATGCGCTATAGAAGAATGGAATTATTATTAATATCAAAAATATATATAGGTAATACATTAATTCAACGGAAACTTACGACGAGGGTGGGATCGCGCTCAGGCTTGTATTGCAGAGAACTTGGGAGGCCTACAAAAACGAAGAAACGTGTTGTTACAATAACCACTTTAGGCCTAATTGATTTCCTCAATATTGCCAGACATTTCAGCAAATCCATTCATTCAATTCATGACTAGTCCCAACACACTCATAATAACATGGCTGTCTGGTTCTAGCTGTGATTGTCTGGGAAAAAAAATACATTCACCTTTTGGAGATTTCATGTTCTTGTAACCCAATGGTTACTAACTGAACTGAATTCCCATGGATACTGACCCAACAGGCCAGGCCTGTCAGGAAGTCGTCTGCAACATACAGGTGAACAAAATAACACGTTGCATACTAGACAGAGAGAGAGAAAAAAAGTGTTGCCCAATGCCAACCGACCCAAGATCCCGACAATCTGTACTTTTTTTGTTTTTAGTAAAAGAATATTTTGTTATAAAGAGGAGCCCAAATTACTCAATAGTCTATTATTACTGGTAGTGCTGGGCCTTAATATTTGAAAAATTCCCCCTTTTCAAGTTTAAATGGAATACCACAAAACCTCGAATACATCCCAATGGGCTTAATCTCGAGAGGAAGCCCATCTCTTAAAGTATTCTCGAAAAGAAGCCCATGGGCATCAAAAAAGTTCGTTTAGCCCCTAACCACTTTTTTCATGACAAACTGACAATTGTGACTGACCCAATCGGTGACGTAATGCTCCCGGAGGAGTTTTTACCGATTGTATCGCCAAATCCAGATTGCCCTTTAAGAATCATTACAAGGTGCTCTGTGCAACTTTATACTGTTTGTGATCATGGAGTTAAAATAATTATAACTCCATGAGCTAAAAATTAAAATTAGGCCTAAATATTAGAATTGTATATTCAAGTCGACCCCAAACTATTAGATTTCAATATTACAAAAAAATATCCCCTGTCAATTAATTTGAGGAATTTTGTAGTAAAAATCCGTTAATTGTTTTGATGTGGCTTCATTGATCTTTTAAACGAGCTATTCGATGTGTTATTGGATATGACAGACGGATCTTTTAAAAACTTGAAAGATGTGAACCTTGCGTTTATGCACGCTGTTAATGATGATGATGATGATACTGACGACGACAATTATGCCAATAGGCGATGGTAATACAAGGAGACTAAACATCCCACTATATTGAAATTTCATGGCCGAATATAACAATTGTAGGCACAATAATAAAAACGATGATGATATTCCTAATGCTGATAATGACAGGGATGATAAAAAATGACGACGACGACGATGAGGTTGTTGATTAAAAACATAAGTTCGGATTAAAACATACCATGTATCACCACTCAACCGTTAACAGGAGGTGGGGGGGGGGAGGGGAACGCTGAGATGCCTTGCTTTTTCACTCTTTCTAATAAGCCTGAACAATCATCAACCATGAATTAATAGTCACATTGTGATCAACCATGAATGATTAAAACGACATTGTAACGAAATGAACCACAAGTCTGGTAGTATACAGTAAACTTTAGACATGGAATTCAATTTACATGCTAACATAAATAATTTAATTAAAGTGTATATCAAATTATCCTTGTGGTTTATTATATCATAGCTTTTATGTCACCCATCGTAACTGCCTCCATGCAACCGATAATTCCACCTCCACCTCATAGTCTCCGCCTCTTTGGAGAACCCCTGCCTCATGACTTTCTTTTTAAGTCGAACAGGTCTAATTATTCTCTTTCCCGTTTTAAACTGGAAAATAATTAAAATATTAACAAATGAACCTTCTAATGAGTCAGTCATGTTTTTTTCAGAATTTATTAGCAGTTCGTCTTTGTCCGTACAATCTTAAAAAGTACAAAGTTGATCTTTCTTAATTAGTTCATTAGTATTTCCTATGGAAGCATAGTAATTTGGCTTTTGCGCTCCATCTGATACATTAACATGTCTATCTTTTGTGTTCAACTTCTTCTCAAATGGTTGCACAATAGAAATAATTGTATGTGGTCTGGACGGTCAAGAGTAATGAATTGTAAAAAGGAAGAAGTGTTTCCATTGTTTTGTTGTGTAGTTCTTCGCTGATCATAAAATGACAATTAAACTACCCATCCTGGAGATGTTGGCTTTATAAAGACTAACAAATAAAGTGATAAAATGCTGTCTAAAGGGGATTGCTATAATTTAATAATTATGTGTATAATTGGTATGTTTATTATAGTGTCTCACTTTGATGATTTAAATGCAATAATACAGTTTCCCAGGGGCTCTGAAAGAGACCAGTCTTTTGACTAATTGGACCACCTTTGTAAAATATTGTGAATAAATACACAAAAAACAAGACAAAACTTTTCAAGTTTCCAGCACTGGATGGATGGCCATTCTAAAGAAATTAAAAAATATTTGTCCTTTAAGAAGGATAATGCTAAGTCTGATGTCTTTACTGATTGAATGGAACTGAAGATTTCCCAGTCAGTGGCAGATTCAAGGTAGGTGAGGGGGAGGCAGCTGGCCGGGTAGGCTGGGCCGGGACCCCGAAATTTCTCCAAAATTATTTTTAAAAATGGAGAAAAATAGAAAATTATATTAAAATAATAATAATAATACTACTCTGAGAGTACATTTCCAGCCGGCCACCTGCAGGTGCCATAATCAATTTTCTTACCTCAGCCCCAACCATAGCGAGGTCCAGACCCCTCCTCTATTTTCAATTTCTGGATCCACCACTCCCAATGAACCCAGACTCTAGTGTTGAAAAGCAGTCTGGCCTAAGGTGGTGGTGGTAGGCCTATATGTAATGTATCATCCATTTTTTCTACAGCATGCATTTTTTAATATTACATAACACTGTTATAATGTAGGCCTATAACAAAATTTACTAAACACGGCCATATAATGAACTCATAAAAAAGCAATAAGTGAACTTTATTGGCCTTTAACCCTTTCCTTTCTATGCTAATTAAGTATTTATAGTCGAATAATATAACACAGAACAATCAAATTTGAAAGATAATTGTTCTTTTGTCAAGACAAACACAGAAGGGAAAGGGATCAGCGAGCATGTGCAGCAGCTGTATATTTTGTTTTGTTCTCCCAGATGGTCTGTTGAACCTGCAAAAAATCTACTAATATTAAACCCTTCACCCAAAGATAATGCTTTTTGATAAACATGCAAAACACAAAGAAACAATGTAATTGGCATGGGAGACGGTAAACAAAAAAAGATACTGCCAACCAGGTACTCGAGTACAATGCACTTTATTATGAATCCTACTATGACAGTAACTTAGCTTACAACAACAGGATTGTGCCAGTGAGGACATAGTACAACGCTGATAAAAAAAATTCCTGTGATGAGCTGGAAAATATAATTCAATATTTGAATTGTTTACTTTGTATTTAAATAAAAATTAATAATTTTCAATTAATAATTTTCAATTAATAATTAGAATGCAAAAAATAATATCAAGGTTTCCCCCCATATTTTCATATTACCAAACATTGAATTTCTCTTTTAAAAGCTTTGAAACTTAATATGTTATGAAACTTCAATATAACACAGATCAAAAACAAAAAAGTCTTCAGCCATTACCAGCTAAAGAACATACAGTACCGTATTTATTCGAATAAACGCCCTGGGGCAATTATTGTTGAGAAGGGTTTTGAGAGGGCGTTTATTTGGAAGGGGTGTTCTTACGGGAGAGGCATTTATTTGAGGGAGGCTTTCATTTTGTATGGTGTCAAATGTATACGTATAATGTATACTCAAATAAACACAATTTCTTTTACTTTAAATGTGGAACTACAACACATAATTAATATCAAAATGTGTTATTGCATCATCGTAAAGACTTATTACATGATCGAAAACCAGGTTAGAAAAAATGTAATTCTAATGGAGTAAGAACATTAATGGAATACTGTATGTTGAGAATGATGTTGCTTCCATTACATTAGTTTACAGTTATTTGGTGCACTTTTATTTGAGGGAAGCGTTTATTCCAATTGAGACTCTAGAAAGAGCGTTTTATTCAAATGGTGGGGTGGGGGGAAGCATTCATTTAAAGCGGGACGTTTATTCAAATAAATACGGTATTCATGCATCTGTATGGTATGAAGAATACTTTCTTATTTAAATTCCAATTGGTAGCTGATAGGAAGCAACTCAAACATTGAATTTTATTTTTTAAGTTTTTTAGCTCTTAAAGCTGCATTTATATTGGAACCAAACTAAAATTTGTACCACGTTTCCGAATCGCTCAATGCCAGCGTCCCTATTCTTACACACTGATTTGGTTTTCTAATCAGTTTGGTAGACCTTCCCTGATCTGAAAATTTGGATTCGGTATGAATGCACCTTTAAGTAAGGATTTTTTTAACCGTTGGTAAATAAGGTTATCCCTTTTGTAGTGTGTATAACAGGATTACATGAACTTCAATTCTATTCATGAATTGCCAATACAGTTGAACTTTCATACCGGCATCTTAAACATATATTAAACAATTGTTCAGGATTTTTGTTTTTTTGTTCTGCCATACAGTATGTACCATCTTTCATTTTCTATGAATTCTTCACATCTTCAATTGCCTTCAGCAACAGTGTTCAACAAGAAATAAACACCTTACAGATATCATTTATTGTTGTTGGACTAAAAAAAAAACCAACCATTTTGTAATAATGAATCATTAATGACTATGTGCAGTTAAACTTGTCTAAGTCGACTATGCCTAACTCGAATTTGCCTACTCAAATAATTTCTAATTTGATCTTATTTTACATACCCAATTGTTGTGTTTTCCATTAATTAATGATCTGTAAGTAGATTTTTATCTAAGTTGAACAATTTTATCAATGCCATTTTGGATTCGACTTGGGCAAGTTCAACTGTATTTAATAATGCAAAGACAATGTAAACTCGCTTGAACTCATTTATACCCTTTTACACTGCCAAGGTCAGAATAACCTGTGTTTATTCCGGAGTGATCCTGAGTTGCACCTATTTACACCGGCAACGAACGTGGGTTCAAATATCACCATCAATTTCTGTCGCGATCATCACTTCGCTCGAGTTGATTGTGCTGTGATGGAGCACAATTATTGCAATATTTAAGCAATATATCAGCAGATTTTTTTTTTTAATATGCGAATTAAATCAGTAATTTTTTGTTAAGTCTATACAGAAGCACAGGAGGTTTAATTTGTAAAGTGTGTTGGCCTAGCCCGTTGCCAGCCAAGTTTAAGCCTACCTGACCACAACCGCAGTAGGCGCTAGGTAAGGCTTTTATTCTGGAATTAAATTTCGGTGTTACACTGGCTATTTCGGTGTGTACCCAGGTTGTCCAACGCTGAATGCGTCCTGCACATCGATCCCGGAATGTTTGGCAATCTGAGTCGTACTTTTTGATGTTTACATTAACCACAACTCGGGAGTTTCTAGCCCAGGTATTGGAAAATCCTGGGTTATGCCTGGAATTTTGCTTGCAATGCAAAAGGGGTATTTAGTCTCCTGGATGGAGCGACACAGATTTGGCAAAAAGAGACAAAATATATAATATGTGCCTTCTAAATTGATTGGTCAAGTGTCCAGTCCTAGGACACAAGAGCAATGGACAATACAGGATTCAAACCCCTGACTGCAAGGTTAACAGATACTACAGACATTACAATTTTTATAAATTATAATACAGAACTGCAAATTTTAAAGAAATATAATATACAATTATGTTTTTGATTCATCACAGTAGCAATAATATTAGTCAATGGATGCTAGGCTGTTCTGCAAATCCATATTAACATTTAAATGTCCAAAACCTTTTTAAAGATTTTATAATATTACCAACTAATCTCCAAAAATGACAAATTTATTTTCAGTTAAAAACACTTCTGAGAAAAAAAAATGTTTTCATTATTATTTTTTAGATACTAGCATCTAAAACAACAAAGAAGTAATATATATTCTGCTTTGAACATTGATTATCATTGTATAGCAATTTACAATATTTAATAGCATCAAAATACTGCTTAGATGCATCAAAATGAATGGCCAACCCTGGAAGATAAATAAATAACTGCTGGTACACATGGGCTAAACATTAAATAAATGGTAAACAGAATTAATACATAACATGTCACTCTTCAAAATTTTGTAATAATAAAATGTGTCAAAATTTACGAGTGATTTTATAATACTGAACTATTCAACCAAATCTATTCATTATTTGATAAATGCATTACTTTACTGTACAAAAATAAAAAATGCAATGGGAACACTATAAGCATGCTAGGCTTAGCTTTGGATTATGTTCTGGAATCTTTTAATCAGTTGTTACCTATCAGTTGAAAATGTCACATAATTATACCTTTTGTCATGTTTATATTAAGAAGCACCATGTTCGACTCCTTTACCTTGAACATTTAATCATCATCATCATCATCCATCTCTTCATCCGCATCATCTTCTTCCTCTTTCTCTTCTTCCTCACTACTCTTCACTTCTTCCTTCTCTGAATCAGATTTTCCGCTTGCAGCATCATCACTTTCCGACTTCTAGAAAATAAAAATTATAGGAATCATATTAGAAAAATAAAAATTTATACAAAATTCATAAAAGCTATAAAAACACATTGTTTAATGAAAATGCATTAAACAATGCTAAAAGTACAGCTACAGAATATCAACCCTTACGTATCATTAACCTTCAATTATTGTATATATTATTTGACATGTAAACAAAATAATGTTTATTTGTGTGTACTATAATAATACCACCCTTAAAATATATACTAGCTCAATGTCATAAACAATATCAAACCATAAATATTGATTATACATAAACATTGGCCACTAAAGTACACATGTTCTATAACTCTCAAACACTTAAATTTAAATAAGATAATATAATACATACTCTCAAAAATGCACACCATCGTGTTGGGATTCAATATTTTGGACATTAATTATGTCATCAGGTTTTCTCCCTTTTCCATTCCTGATGATTACATAATTAATGCCAAAATATTGAATCCCTACACGATGGCGTGCATTTCAATACTTGGAGTATGTATTATACTATCTTATCTGATATTAATCAGAGGACCTTTTGGTTTAAATTCAAAAACACATAACAAAATGCATAATTAGTGAAAGATTTGAGCTTTGTCCTTATGCAGTCATTTATTTATACACATAGTAATTCTGTCTACTTTTAAGTAAACAATTAATAATTATTAATTAATAAACTATTTTGTATAGGACAAACAATTGTTGGTTATGATAACAGTAACAGTACTAACAGAATTTCACCCTCTTTCCAAACTATCAACTTGTATTTGAAAAAACATTGGACATGCCTAAATATGGTCATAGATGACATCACATTATGACCATATATAGACACGTCATGACCGTGGCCATAGGACAGTTTCATGTGGACAGAGCCAAGTTCTGTTTATAGTTTGTTCTCTCACTCTGGAGTAACCTCCCTCCTTGAATTAAGTTCAATTTGAGCACCTCAACCTCCCCACAAGGTTTTCTCCCTTTTGCCTTATTATTACATAAAGCATTTAAGTTTCCTTGTTTATTCGTTTTCGATAACATTATTCACAAATGATCAAAGAATTTCATCTGGTCTTGTTAATGAATATATCATTTATTCTATTTAATAATAAACAATTGTTGTTTTTATTATTAACTATGTATGCTTTCTGAAACTTATTAATCACTTTTAAATATGAAATTGATGCAATAAAAATGTTTGATTATTGTGATTCATTGTTATCACACTTAATTGTTTATGCTTTTGGAAATTGGAAATATACTGAGTTGATTGATTAAAAAATAATTACTTTATTATCATTATAACAATGATTATAATGAAAACAATAATAATAACCCTTCCTTTCTTCAAACATGTTAAATTAATAATTGATTTACTTAACAACATTCCGACGAGTTTATTTTCAATGATCCTTGCAACAATGAGAGTTCCTGAACAACGACTACAATTCCACGAACCATGCTGGGGAAAGGGAACAGATGCATAATGGCTTATGAAATGGGGACATGGGATACTAGTTAGGTGCGTGTGGGAGGTGGAATATTAATGTAAATCTTATTATGAGTAGTTCAAATAGTTCAAAAACTTGTTTGTATCCAATCAGCTGTTCCTACTTATTTCTTCAACCACCC